CAGGAGGAGATATGGGGTGCTGGCTCTGGGAGAGGGCTCAGGGCTGGCAAGGGTGCAGGAAAGGTTCGGGGTGCAGGAGGGGGTTTGAGTGTGGCTTGGGAAAAGGGATTAGGGCTGAGGAAGGCAGTTTGGGGTGCAGGAGGCGGTTTGGGGTGCTGGCTCTGGGAGGGGGCTCAGGGGTTGGGGTGCAGGCTCCCGCCGGGCAGCACTTACCTTAGGCGGCTCCTGGTCAGTGGCGCAGCAGGGCTAAGGCGGGCTCCCTGCCTGCCCCAGCCCCACACCATTCCCAGAAGTGGCCATCACGCCCCTTCGGCCCCTGGGGGAGCGGTGCATGTGGCTCCGCGCACTGCCCCTCTCTGCAGGCATCGCCCCTGCAGCTCCCATTAGCTGCAGTTCCCCGTTCCCGGCCAATGGGAGCTGCGGACGCAGTGCTTGCAGGCAGGAGCAGCGTGCGGAGAACCCTGCCCGCCGCCCACTCCCTCGGGGCTTCAGGGATGTGCTGGCCACTTCCGGGAGCAGCGCATGGCCAGGACAGGCAGGGAGCCTGCGTTAGCCCCGCTGCGCTGCCAGACTTTTAGCGACTGGAAATCACGATTGACTGGCGGAGGCTCCAGGATCAACCAGTCAATCGCTATTTGCCAGTTGGTGACCACTGTTCTAGGCAATGTTGTAGAATAAAAGATTTCATAATATTCCACAACAAATCCTAATACACAGTAAATAAAATATCTTCCAGAGGGACACCCCCACCCAGTATATACCCAGATGTATTGTGTGCTTGTATGCATATGCACACACACACACACACACACACACACACAATTTTCAGGGCACATTTTAGTTTTTATTTTCTTTGTTAAGTGTACTAAATATAGCAGATACTGGAATTCATATTTAAGTATTTCAGAGTTTAAAAACACGGTTTAATTTGTGATGAGAAGCCATCTCTTTCCTTTTCTTCACGAGTATTATAAGATCTGTTCCCTATTGCTCTGATTCAGAAGAGATTTAACTTTAAGCATATTTTTAAGTGCTACTGACGTCAGTGCTCTGATGAATAGAGATACAGGCCCCGCTTCAAGAAGGTATGAGGAAGTTACTTCATTTGCTAGTGTCCTGCTAGTGAACTTTTAAAGAACTTCTTTGGAAAGCTGGAGACAGCAAAAAGCAATTTAACAGAAGACAGAATTAGAAAGGATACAAAGTACACAGAAAATAGGGAGGTATGCTATTGATCTAAAACATACACTGGTAAAACCAATACTAAATTTGATTATACTGTTTTTTTTACATTAGTTGACTTTTCAGCTGGAAAACAAATCCCCAGGTTAGCAGATATCTTACCTGCAAAAGGCCCGCAAATTTAACTACTCCCCAGCCCAGTCTGGCAACATCTGGCTCAACTAAACTCATCTGGTAAATATCCACAGCCAGAAATCTCTGAACTTGACCTCCATCTTTTGTAATCACTGTACAAGCAATTAAATCGCTGTTATCTAAAGAGAAAAAAAATAATTAAGATAGGCAGCTATCACAGTTAACTTCTGCAATAGCTTATTTTGTTAGGAATTTCAATATTTTCCAAGGAATATGCTTTGCATTAGAAACCTAAGTTATCTTGGCACATTTCAGATAGTCGTTTCCTCTTCACATTCAGTCATTTTATCATGCTCATTCACAATTAATTCCTGATATATATTGGATGAGGACTTATTTTGTCAAGAATGCTTTGAATACAAACACAGTGTGTTATTTAACTGGTTCAGGGTTTTAGTTTACCAGGCTTTTTTGTTACACTCAACATTATTTTAGGGCTGAACTTAAACCAGTTAGTGCGGATATCAACCTCTTCAGGATTGCTGAGATAGCTCTGAACTCAAAGCTATGAATTTATTTGTTTTTGCAATTGCTTGTTTGTTTATCCAAGTACCCCTTCCAGTTTTCCTCCCACTCCCACCAGTTCCCATGGTGAGACACCACACCACTGGCATCAGTTGTTGAATAGACTAGCCTGTAGAGCAGGGGTGGGCAAATTTTTTGGCCTGAGGGCCATGTCGGGGTATGGAAATGGTATGGTGGGCCATGAATGCTCAAGAAATTGGGGGGAGGAGTGCGTCAGGGGGTGTGGGCGGGGGGGGGGTGGGGCCGGGAATGAGGGGTTTGGGATGCAGGAGGGTGCTCCAGGCTTCGACTGAAGGGTTCGGAGGGTGGGAGGGGGATCAGGGCTGGGGCAGGCTGTTGGGGCACGGGGGGAGGTGAGGAGTTTGGGGTACAGAGGGGGCTCTGGGCTGGGATTGAAGGGTGCAGAGGGCGGGAGGGAGATCAGGGGGGGGGGAGGGGATTAGGGTAGGGGGGGGGCTCAGGGGTGGGCTCCGGGAGACGCTTACATCAAGCAGCTCCCAGAAGCATGTCCCCCCTCCGGCTTCTATGTGGAGGCACGGCCAGGCGGCTCTGAGCGCACTACCCTGTTTGCAGGTGCCACCCCTGCAGCTCCCATTGGCCAGGAGCTGTGGCCAATGGGAGCTCTGGGGGCGGCACCTGTGGACTGGGCAGCACGCAGAGCCACCTGGCCATGCCTCTGCATACTACCTAGGAGTTGGAGGGGGGGGTCATGCCAGCTGCTTCCTGGGAGCTGCGCGGAGTGGGGCTAGCCCCCAACCCTGCTCCCTGGCTGGAGCTGAGGGCTGGATTAAAAGGTCTGACAAGCTGGATGTGGCCCACAGGCCATAGTTTGCCCACCCCTGCTGTAGAGATTAACTTTCCTCACTTTCTGGATGTGCTGTTTTCTTTTCCCATTCTGTAGTCTCTTGCTACTTTTCCCCCCAAACCCAATATTTTTTCAGATAATTCACAAATATGCTGAAATTGGTTTAAGGACAGGGTTTACAGTAACAAAAGAAAAGTGTCTTTCACCACAAAACACTGGTTTCTAATCTAGGTAGCTAATTCATTCTATCAAAAGGAAGCCACATTGTCACTCACAATTCAGTGTCTACATTTTGGTTTTTTTTGGCTCTTTGAAACTTTATGGCAGTATCTTGACACAGATTCTCGTAGACTCATAGACTTTAAGGTCAGAAGGGACCATCATCTAATCTGATCTCCTGCACATTGCAGACCACAGAACCTCACCCACCCCTCCCATAATAGACCCCCTAACTTCTGGCTGAGTTACTGAAGTCCTCAAATCATGATTTAAAGACCTGAAGTTACAGATCATCCATCATTTACTCTAGTTTAAACCTATAAGTGACCCAGACGACAGAGGAAGGTGAAATCCTCCAGGGTCTCTACCAATTTGACCTGGGAGAAAATTCCTTCCTGATCCCAAATATGGCAATCACTGAGGTCAGATGAACTTACATTTTGGATTAATTACAATTTGTTTCATTTTATTAATAAAAATAAAGTTCAAAACGTTGTTAATAATATATTAGTGGCCCCATTCTAACATCTCAAGAAGCATCCTGCATCTCTTTAGTGTGCCAGCCACACATGCAACATGATTGCAATAAGAAACAAAACAAAACAGGGGTGAGGGTACTAACAAGCACAGTTTCATTCCATGGGCTGTCCAGAGAATCAGAACTACTAGACAAATGACTAGGAGAAAGGTTGCAGAGTACAGATGATTACTATGTAACTGTAGATGTCTGGTGTGAATAAGCATATTGAACATACTGTCTAAAACCAAAACACTGCAACGTGGAATTCACAAATCTAGATAAATGTCAAGATTAAGGATAACATTTTCGAAAGCTTCCATGTCCCTTTTGAAAATGGGATCTAGTGAGACTTTAGGAGCTTTTGAAAAATTTACTCTAAAACAGTACTGCAATAATTGTTCAAAATGCATTTATAGCCATCCCCAAGGAATTCAAGAACAATTCCTGGTAAATGGGAGAAAATATTACAGTAAATTTAAGCAGTACCCACCAGTTCCAGCAGCTGAACTCCAAGATAACGGAGTACACACAAGTCATTTCATTCTCCCTCTATCTCTGACTATTTCTGCATTTGAAGAGAAGTGAAATGGTCTTGTGGTTCTTTTCCACTAATATCTTGTCCCTCAATGTATGTTAGAGAACACCACCACATCACAATATGTACAGCATTTGGAAAATTGAACAATTAGAACAGTATGAGTGTTAGTCTTGTTTTAAAAACTAAAAAAATCTATTTGATTTTCACTTCTGACATGCATTAAAAGCCAGCTACATGAAGTAGCTGAAAAATTAAAATGAAACAGGTAATGTACTTATGGATGTGATCGTGCTTAAGTTGAAGCAATAGAACATATAACTGAAAAGCTCTCTATGTTCAAGGGAAGTACAACTAACCTATGTACCACCTGAAGTGTCTTCACTGCTACTAAGAAGTTGATTAGATACGCAAAGGCTCAGAAGAATTAAGCACCAAGTAAGCTCGGTGAGTATTAGAGACCCAGGTAAGATAATACTGAATGTCACTTGAAGTTCCAGTTACATGAGACATTAAGATAATTTCATAAAGTATACTCCCAGATTATTTTGGCACTTTTATTAGTGCTGTGAAATTGAGACACCATAGCTAAAGTCTAAAATTATTGATAACCTTAGTCTTAATCTAGTTACCTTGCATTTTTAGCTTCAAAGTAAAACAGAGGTATTACAGTGGTTTTATGCATACAACAGTGTCTTATTCTTTTTCTTATAACTATCCAAGGTACAAGATAATGGGCCAGATTTGATTAATGACTCAACCTTCTGGGCCAGTGCTCAACATTTCCAGATTGGTGACCCTTAATTTGAAGTAAAAAGTTCTCAAAAGCCCTTTACATATATTATAAAATAATAAAAAAATGTGTCAGTTATAAGAAGCTAGGAATTGTAGAAAACTGATAAGTGAAGCAAAAGGACAAGGATAATTCCATGGCCAGCAGAGTTAAGTATAGGAAGTATATTATGAACAAACAGAATCCTAACAATGGTATTAGTCCCTTACTAGATTGAAATGATAAAACTGTTAATACCCCGCGCCCAGGACCGGCTTTAGGACGATTTGCCCAATTCCCCGGAATTGGGCCCCGCGCCTAAGAGGGCCCCGCGCACTCACCCCGGGGGTGGTCGTCTTCGGGGGGCCCCACTCCCCTGGCCAGAGCACCGGCCGGAGCACGGCAAGCCCCGCGGCCATGCTCTCCCAGCTGGAGCTCCAGCTGGAGCGCGGCTGCCCCACAGCCCTGTCCGGAGCGCGGCAAGCCCCGCGGCCCCGCTCTCCTGGCTGGAGCTCCGGCCAAAGTGCGGCAAGCCCCGCAGCCCCGTGACCCCGGCTGGAGCTCCGGCGGAGCGCGGCAAGCCCCGCAGCCCCTCTCTCTCGGCTGGAGCTCTGGCCAGAGCGCGGCAAGCCCCGCAGCCCCGGCCGGAGCGCAGCAAGCCCCGTGGCCCCGGCCGGAGCGTGGCAAGCCCCACGGCCTCCCCTCCCCCAGCCGGCAATCCGAAGTGCCGCCCCAGGAATTGGGCCCCGCACTTGCTAAAGCTGGCCCTGCCCCCGCCAAAAGACAAAGGCATTCCAAAAATATTTCTGTTTTGTGCTTGGGAAAAAGGCTAGATAATGCATTCATATCATGATGAAATACTTTCCATTCCAGTAGTAACTCAGAAAGATCTGATACAGCAGCTATTAAAGTTAGATACACTCAAATCAGCAGGTCCAGCTAACCTGCATCCAAGATTTTAAAAGAGCTAGCCAAGGAGCTCTCTGGACCACTACTGTTGATTTTCAATAAGTTTTACAACACTGGGGAAATTCAGTCCAGAGTTCAGAGAACCGGAAGCGAATGTTGTGCCAATATTTAGAGAGAGAAAACTGGATAACCTGGGCAGTTATAGGCCAGTCAGTCTAACACTGATCCCAGGCAAAATAATGGAAAAGCTGATACTAGAATTGATTAAGAATTAAAAGTGGGTACTATAATTAATGCTATTCAACATGAGTTTATGGAAAATCGATCTCATCAAACTAATCAGAATTTTTTTAGCTGAGATTAATAGATTGGGTGATAAAGCTAATAGTGTTGATGTTGCATACATAGACTTTGGTATGACATTTGACTTGGTACAGCAAAACATTTTGACTAAGAAACTAGAAATATACAAAATTAACATAGCACACATTAAATTGATTAAAATTCACTAACATTTAAGTCTCAAATTGTAATTGTAAATGAGGGGATCAAGCAGGTATGTGTCTTGATGACCCTGCAAAAATTGGTTCTTGGTCTTGTGGTATGTAACATTTTTATCAGTGACCTGGAAGAAGACAATTGCAATGAAGTTGGCAGATGACACAAATTTTGGGGGAGTGGTAAACTAGGTACAACCAAACAATATTTATTTTTATATTGCCAAACATCTAGGAACAGAGTGCAGGGCATACTTATAGGTCGGGGGACTCTATCCTGGAAAGAAAAGACCCTGAAAAGGACTTAGGTCAAAGGATAATCAGCTGAACATGAGCT